CAATAGGAGCTGAGAAATTTTGCTGGGGGCATGGGCAGCGTGTGAAACCTACTTCCCTCCCACCCCCATGCCCAGAGCAAAGCCATGTGAAGCCAGGAGACCAAGATAAGACTTCAGCAGAAAGCCTACCGTAGGTTCCTGCAGGGCTGCTAGCTGGGAGACCTCTAGGTAAGTGACTCTCTGGTTAAGAGTCAGGGAGAAGGCCCAGCTGAATGGGACCCCTGCACCCAGAGCCCCTCCTCACCCCCAACCTCTGGCCCATCCCCCCCCACACATCCACAATGCCTGACTCCTGCAACAACCACACCACCAGCCCCCTGCCCTGAAGGATCCAGGCAACACCAGGTAAGTCTTCTAGTAACCTTACAAATCTCACTATCAAGATAGCTTTCCTGATACATACTTGGACTGAAAGAAATGGATACACACCTTCTTGCAATTACTGATCTTTGAGATGTGTTCATGTCCATTCCTATGAGGTGTGCATGTGTTGTGTGATTGATGTCGGAAACTTTTTTCCTTAGCAGCATCCATCCGGTTGGTGGTGGAACCTGCTGGAGTGGTACCTTCAGGATACTCAATATAGGACCCTGCTGATTTAACTCCCCCGTCAGTTCCTTATTGCTGGCTACTCTGACAAAGGGGAAGGAGGGCAGGTATTGGAATACCGTGCGCCCTCCTCTCTCCCCCAGTGCTCTGGGGCTGAGGATGCTGTGGCTGCACTGTAAACCCTCTTCTCTCCCCTGGCACTCCAGGGCTAGGGCCATGCCATGTGCCCTCCTCCCTCTCCAGGTGCTCCAGGGTGAGGCCATTCCATGCATACCCCTCCCTCCCCTGGCACTGAGAAGGCTGGGGCTGCACTGTGTGCCCTCCTCCCCACCCGCGGTCCTCAGAAGCTGGGGTAAGCGCATGCCTGTCGACTCCCCTCCTGTCCTCGTGGTTGGGGGGAGCGGGGTATGTGCACATGGCATGTTGTCCTGCCTTCCTGTGGGGGAGGGGGTAAGAAGGTGGCAGGGCCTCAGCAGAAGGGGTGGGGCTGGAAGTGGAGAGGGGGGGCTTGTCTCCCCTAGCCCTACTTCACCAACTGCCAATGGCTATGACCATGCATAGTAGTGTGAAAGGTCTGACAGGCCAGACAAGGGATACTCAAATTTGGAAGCCCCGGGGGCTACAACAATACTCACAGCACATGCCGAGGGCCGCAACTTAGTGTGCTTGCATGTACATGCAAATATATGTGCAAATAGCTTCTTTCACACTGACGGGCATGAATGCAAAAATTAAGGCAAGACTACACAACACACAGGTCTCATTTAAATCATTTCTGCTGATACTAATAAAATATGATATTTACCCAATTCCCACCCATATGACAGCACTTTTAATGACAATGACAGTCCAGGAACTTACCTACTAAAACACATATGAACAGAAGACCATTATATTGACCCCTTTTTTGCTTTGGCTCCCACCCACAGGCCACAAACAGATGGGCCACAGGCCACATGCAGCCCATGGGCCACATTGAGTAGTCCTGGGCTAGATTAATGAACTAACCTGAACTAACCGGATTCTCACAATGATGTGGTGAGAAATCCTGACCTATCAGCAGCAGGGTAGACGGATTTAAATGAAGGTGATTTAAATCACCAAAAAAAGAAATCATTGATTTAAACTGTTTACCAGTAATACTTCTTCACACATTCTTCAAACAATAGTGCAAATCTGATCACTAAAACATATTAATTTACAGCTCTGTACACGCAATTTTCAAGTTATTAACTCTAACAGACCAGTACTCAGATCTCTAAATGTATGTTGTCCTTAAAACTTCTACAAGCTCTTATCTTCCCCATTCCCCGTTATTTTGATGTAGATCTGATCCCAAGTTACCAGAATAGCTAAGACTATCTGTGCTTAGAGTGCACTTCATTTTGAAGTAAGCCCCATTGGAAACAATCATAGGATGGGGTTCCTTTGGAAAGGTGAGTTATGGTTAAGTAAAATAGGGAATAGACTTATGGCATCACCATTATTGTTTGTGACCATGATGTTCTAATATAAGAGACATATATTGTGTAACAAAATAAGAAAATGAGAACACTAACTGGCAATTCTAGATTTCTTCTAGATTTGTTGATCTACCCATCCTGGACAATGATCTCTCGCTTTCACAGGCCTTGGGAGGTAGGCCGGTCCTTGCCCACAGACAACCTGCCACCCTCAAGCAAATTCTCACCAGCAACTACACACCGCACCATAACTCGAACTCAGGAACCAATCCTTGCAACAAACCTCGGTGCCAACTCTGCCCACATATATACACCAGAAACACCATCACAGGACCTAACCAGATCAGCCATACTGTCACTGGTTCATTCTTCTGCACATCTACCAACGTAATATATGCCATCATGTGCCAACAATGCCCCACTGCTATATACATCGGCCAAACAGGACAGTCCCTACGTAAAAGAATCAATGGACACAAATCTGATATTAGGAATGGCAACATACAAAAACCTGTAGGGGAACACTTCAATCTTCCTGGACACACAATTGCAGATCTAAAAGTAGCCATCCTGCAGCAAAAAAACTTCAGGACCAGACTTCAAAGAGAAACTGCTGAGCTACAGTTCATCTTTAAGTTTGACACAATCAACTCTGGATTAAACAAAGACTGTGAATGGCTTGCTAACTACAAAAGCAGCTTCTATTCTCTTGGAATTCACACCTCCAGATCAGCTGCTAGAAGTGAGCCTCATCCTCCTTGATTGGATCCACCTGGTCATCTCCAGCCTGATCCTGGCCTGCATATTTATTCCTGCCTCTGGAAATTTCCACTACATGCATCTGACGAAGTGGGTCTTTGCCCACGAAAGCTTATGCTCCTACACTTCAGTTAGTCTATAAGGTGCCACAGGACTCCTCGTCGCTATTTTAAACAAGCCATAAGGGTTAGCTAGGCTAACCTTTTTTCTAGCCACATCCAACATAGCAAATAGCTTGGGAATTTACTTCTTAAATCACACTTACACTAAAAAGCATAGAGAGCATCTTGATGTATAATGCACTGCAAAAATGGAACCACATTGTTCTTCAGACATATCACATCACTTTCTCCCAATAAGCCGTTTTTCTGATGTTTCATTCTTCATTCTAGACCCTGCATCTTCTTGATCTGCTTACACTTTTTACTCAGGGAACAAATTCTTTAAAAAATATTCCCAGATAGGGTCTCTTTTACAGCTAGTTTTTCTGTGGCAAATGCATAGGGGAATATAGGAAACTGTGTGCCAAATAACGTCTTCCCTTTTCCTTTCCAGGCCAGTTAGACTGGACAAACTAGAGCCATTAATTCATTTAATGAGACTGTAAGTGTAGGAATAGCATGCTTGATAAGATCTAATTGTAACTTATTTTTAAATGAGAAATTTAATATTTTATTGATCAACCTCTGGCAACCACAGACCCCTTTTATTTTGGGGTTTAGGCAGCACTAGGAGTACAACCCCTGGCTCCTTAACTCCTGAGGAACCTCCTCCACTGCTCCTACAGAAAAGAGTGATTTCACCTCCTGACAAAGGAGTTGCTCATGAGACCAGTCCCTGAAAAGGGATGGAGAAGGGGGTTTTGAAAGATGAGCAGAACTGGAGTGCATAGCCAATCCCCACCATGTGGAGGACCCAGCATTCTGAGGTGCACAAAGGAAATGGGAAAGATGGTTGCAGAAACAGGGGGGAAAGTTGGGGATATGGATTGGAAGGCAATTTGGGCATCCCATCAAAATCCTTGTTTTGAACTGGATTGAGGCTTCACTGATGCTTTGTCTTGGGTCACTGACTGAGAGGATGTCCTGCACCTGTGTTTTGTCCTGTGGCAAAGAGTCCTGCAAAGGGCATGATTGGAACGAGCATTGATGAAGTTACTGCTGTTGCTGTGGTTTAAAAGGTTTTCCTTTGGGTGGGTGGGGTCTGCATATCCAGTGACTGCATTGAAGCACAAGTGTCCTTTGGGCTAGGGAGTTCCAAGCTTGTTAAATCAGAAAAGAGAACAGAGCCTTTAAATGGGAGGTCCTGCAAGGTGTGCTGGAGCTCAGGAGGTAAGCTGAACTTGAAGCTATACTAAACGGAACATGGCCACTCCAGTTGATATAGTGTGGGCTGCTGAGCCAGCTGCCTTTAAGGAGGCTTGAAGAGCTACCCTGGACATAGTTTTTCCATATCTGTCAGGGCAGCAAACTCAGAAGGGGACCCTCTCCCACCCAGAGGAGCTCTTTAAACTTTGTTAGGGCATCCCATGCATTAAAATTGCACCTGATGAGGAAAGTTTGCTGATTTTCTATCCTTGGCTGCACTCCCCTAGCATCGTAGACTTTCTGCTAAATAGAATCACAGAATTTGAAGAGACCTCAAGAGGTCATCAAGTCCAGTCTCCTGCTCTCACGGCAAGACCAAGCATCGTTTAGCCCTTTGGCTTCAGGAGCAGCTGTCTGCTGGCCTTAGCCTCCTTCTCATTCACTGCTGAGACTACTAATGAGCATGGGGCAGGGTATGAAAAGAAGAATTCATTATTCTTAGAGAGCATATATTTTCCTTCCACATCCCTGGCATGGACAAAGGCTGGGGTCTGCCAGATGGTAGAATTAGTTTTCTAGATTGTCTTGGTAAGAGGGTGAGTGACCCTTGATGGACCCTTGGGGGTTAGTTTATCTACCAGTAGGGTCTTCTACCTCCTTAGCCTGCAGGCCCATATCACAAGCAATTAGGCAATGCAAGTATTGGTGGGCCTTATGGTCAATAAGGAAAGGTCTTACATGATGCTGTTACATGACTATTCAAATACACACTAACATCCCTAAAACAATTATGCAGTTCACTCCATCTTGGAAACTGAATTATAGTTCTTCCGCAGAAACCCCAGAAGGACATATAAAATTCCACATACTTCTTATTTAGTAAAATGTCTTTGTTGTCCTTGCAATAAATTTGACTACAGAGTTTGCAAATACATTACATAATTTATTTCACTGTACAGTCCACATCCATGACAATAGTGCAATAAAACAATGCTGGAACTTGTTCCAATGCTAAACTGTTGCAAAGTGAAAATGCACACAAATGTTTTTAGTAAACAACAGAGCTGTGCTGTTAGCAGTGTCAGTATTAAGTTTTCAAAGATTTGCCATGGTACAATAATTAATTCCAGCACTCTGTCTCAAGTCAATTGAACTTAGCACCTTCTATTTCAAAAATGTAATGTCAACAATTTTTAGTTGTTACTTCCAACTGAGAAGCCACGCAGTAAAAATATTTTAGGAATTATGCCATTTTCTAATAGGCAAAAAAAATAAAATGTATAAAAAAATGGCAAACAAATGGTCTCTGTATCATGGTTAAAACAGCTTAATTTCAACAAATTTCCTGATGAGAAGCTGGAAGAAGGAAGCCCAAGAGCATAAAACATTTTGCAGGGACTCTACAAAAGGGTAGTACACTTTTAAAAAACAAAGACTGGCAAACCTTAATTTTTGAGAATAATTACGTATGTAATAAGGTAACTGTGCGTGTATACAGTAATGCATATATAATGGGCTTATTTTTACATGCAACTATAGTAACTGCACATATGTATTTGGTACACAATGGCATACCTTGCTCTCCCCTCTCCCCACCAAGAGTCCTAAATATTTAGATTGTCAAAATGTCATTTTCTTAAAGAAAAATATAATCACATTTTGGACATTAGCTATTTTTAGGTCAGAAAAGAGGACATTATAGAAAGACATTATTCTGAAGTATTTGTCTTATGTCTCAAGTAATGAAACAACTAGAAAATGGAGTAGCTCACAGAGCAAACCCATCCTATACAAAAAAGTTATATCAAGGGTTTAACTGGTAAAGCAACAATGACTTTGTCTAGAGCAGCAGTTCTCAACCTGCAGCCCACATGCATGTGGCCCAATTAGCACTCAGTTGAAGACTAGCTGTGTGCTAAAGGCCAACAGGCCCAAAAGGCTGGGTCCCAGTTCCCAGTGGCTATGCTGTCTGCGTGGTTTAGGGTCAATGAAAGGACTGTTGCCCTGTCTCCCACCCAGGACTACACTCATGGCCCCACTCTGGAAGAGTCTCATGTGGGAGGCTTTACATGTACAAGTACGGGTGGGGGGGCTAGTGGTGCCGGGAGGAGTTCTTGTGGTTCTCAACCTGCAGCCCACTCTAGGTTAGTGGTTCTCAACCTATTTATCATAGATTCCCAATTACCAACATAGTTCTTTGGCATGGAATCTGATCATGAAGTAACACCAATACACTACATTTACAAAGTAGATTTTTGACACTTTTTTTTTATGGGGGAGGGGAAAGAAAGGTAGAAGATAGGAGCACACAATGCAGATGCATCACTGAGTATAGTACATCATGCAGCACAATGGCAAAGCCTGTAAAGCTTCTCCAGAATCTGAAAACTAGATCCAATAACTCAGATTATTCAAGTAAAAATTCGGTGAAAGCATGTAAATTACATTTCCTGGCTTCCTGCTGTTTTTCATATTCTCCATGCAAAGCAAAACAAGTGGCATGAGAGGTGAGTGTGTTGGTTGGAAGAGACAGATTAGCATATCACTGAACCAGAGTTTGTTTTTCCAATCAACATTGCTCTTTCTATTAACAGCCACATTGATTTCTGAATAAAGTTATGCTAAACACATGACAAAGGTAACATGAAAAGAAATCAACTGTTTATCTTGTAGTTTGGCTATATCCTATGGGTTATTTTGAAAAACAACAAAGGCACAGGTGGGTTAGTGTTTTAATGTACCCCCCACCCTTAAAAAAAAAAAAGAACAAAGGAGCAGATTATAAAAAGAAAGGTTGGCAATGAATATCCAAGTGAAAAAGTTCAATTAAAGTGGGTAATTAAACCCTGAAATGCTTTATGGTTCAACACAGTTAGTGATAAAATATTTTGCTTGGCACTTATACACAACGAACCCAAAATACCATAAAAACCTACTGCAATATTAATTTCACTGTAAACAAAAAGGGGTCTTTTGAAGTTTTGTTTACCAAAGTGACTTTCCCTTTAATAATGCTATCTCCTCACTTCTGCTGGTTTGTAGTGTAACTTGTTCTCAACTGCTGCATCAGAATGAAAGACTGCTTACCAAAAAGGAAAAAAAAATGGTGTTTACATTATTAGCTTTCTTTCAGCAGCATACACGATCTTTAAAATGTCATTAGTACATCACGTTCTTGTACACTAGTATAGAAGGGTCTCCCAAAGATAAACGAATGTAGACCTGGTTTGATCTTCTCAGCTAAAGCCATTATTATGTTAAGATCGCCCTCTGCTGTTAAGTCAAGGTCTATTTTTAAGCTACGGAGAGACTTAAAAGGCTTTTTTCCTTTCTGCCTGCAAGAGAATAAAGAGTGTAAGTGTTACAACACAGGAAGAATTCCTAGTCAACAAGAAATTCCCACACCTTCTCTTCTATTATCTTTTTACTTACGTATCATCTTCTATGTACTTTATAAGAGTTAAGGCTTTTCTATGAAGGACTAGCAGAAACTGGGAAAGGAAAGTACTTCTCAGAGACAAGCCAGGTTTCAAATGAAAGACCTGTTAAAAATTACAACAGAAAACTAAAATTACATGGAAGACCCATGCAACTCAAGTTTCATTCCAGGCACATGGAAAACTAAAAGAATGAAATAGCTTACACATAACAGTTGTGCTAAAGCATCTGTATGATTATGAAAGGATACATTTTAGACTCTTTATTTGGACAAATTGATAAGTTAAGATGTTCTGCAATTCTATTAAGATAAATAACATTTTGCTCTTTTTTTTTTTACATTACTTGAAATGGATCAGACTTAAATGATCATATAATGCTGCAAGTTCAAACAGTGCTTGAGGGCAACAGAAAGCGTGCCTTGTTTTTCACAAAGAGTGTCACGAAGTGGGTCTTTGCCCATGAAATCTTATGCTCCAATAAATCTGTTAGTCTATATAGGTGCCACAGGACTTCTCATTGTTTATGCAGATTCTGACTAACATGGCTACTCCTCTGACGCTAGTATTTTCAGTGTTACATTAGTACTACAAATTGAGCTTGGAGTGTTTAATAACCATCTATTTGTATTAGAGTCACACATGCAATATGTGAGGAACTGTTGGTCCCACTATGTGTCTACTGAACAATCAGACATTTTAAACTGAGACCAATCTTTAATTCTACGCCAGGTTGAGTTAACAATCCATGCTGAGAGGTACTGTTCTAGGCTGAGTGTACTTTTCATCCTCCCAAATGTCACTGTAGTCCTTCCTGGATGCAGTCCCTCTAGTAATGTACTTGTCAGGAAAAGATCACAGCATCAACAGGAATGGCTAGTTGGCACTTGTACATAACTCAGTATTACTTATTTAATATTAAGGTCCTACAAAATCAGCTATTTTGTAGGAACTTACAATTAGCTGCTAATTACATTTTGCACGTTCAGAGGAATCTATCCAGTACTACTATTGTTCTGTTTACAAATAATACAGAGAAGAATCTATTTATGTTAAAATACACTTGAACCTCTGAGTGTCCCTAATCCAGGTACACCTGTGGTTCGGACCTTGTGCATTGCTGCTAGCCCCTCCCCCCATTTGGGGAAATGGCAGGACAGCACTTCTCTAGAGGCTTCTCCCCCTGGCTACGGCTACACTGCCATTTTTTTGCGGAAGAGGATAGGCAAATCACACTTACATTTGCATATCCTCTTCTGCAAAAAATATGGCAGTATAGCCATTAGCCCCTCACTGCTCTCATAGCAGCAGGATGTAGTGCCTGCAAGTGGCAGGGAGAGCGAGCCACATGTGCCTCCAGGAATGGGGCACCAGGTAAGCACCCCACCTCCATCCTCATGTCCAGACCCCATACCCTCAATCCCTTTCAGCCCCTACTTCCCCAGTCTCAGCACACTCTTGCACCCTCCCTCTCTCCTCCCATCCCTCCAACTCACCTCCCAGGCCACATATATATTGCGGTCTATGTTACTGACTTGTTATTTCATAAGTACATTACAAAAAAAAAGTTTTTGTTTTCACCTTCAATAGAAAAAGTATACATGAACCCCCATGGTCTGGAAAATTTCATAGTACAGCGTAGCCTAATTACCAAGGTTGCTAGATTAAAGAGGTTCAAGTGTATTTGTTATACGAGAATAGAGAATTTTCATCTTTGCTCGTCTGAAAGAACAGCTGTTACCTGATCCAGAAATGCTTTTACTAATGTATCACGATGCAGGACATCTTGAAAAACATTCCTTTGAAGAGACAACAAAGAAAGCATGAAGTAATGTGATAAGGAAGCACTAAATATATTATATTTGTTCCTGGTGGTAGCTTCACAGTTGAGTCTGGTAGAATTTAAAATAACTTTAAATAGTCAGTTTTAGTGAATTATGGTATGGCTTATATTTTTTTAAAAAGTTACTTTGGAATATGAAACCAAAGTTTTTATTCTAGAAGCACTTAGTATTCAACCATATCAAATTTGATGGGATGCTATCAGGAACTTCATTGAGATGGTGTGCTAATAAAATGCTGAGCAATAGTTCTACTTCTGTAGTGCTTTTAATCTTTGTGATAAAGCTCCTCCTTGACCTTAGTGGGTCTTGCGCTTTCAGGCAATTTACTTATCTTAGAGGGTCACAGGAGCCCTCAGTTTAGACACTGGCTTGCTGTTCGTTGAGCTAATCTCATCATTGGCCAGCATGGGGAAAAAGAGGGGAAACCAAACTTCATAGTCTCTGTGGTCCCTCCCTAGTGGTACAGGGTAGGACAAACCCTTTTATCAAAGTCAGTCTCTTCCCAGTCCTGAAATGGGGAGTTGGTAGTGGGGGAAAACACCCAGGACCATCCTCTACTCCAAGTCCAGTTCTGGGACCCTGTAATACTAGAAACATTACAGACAACTGATAAGAACTGCACGACAGCTACAAACCTCTGGGCCACTTCCCCACAGCCTTCCCCAGTACTTTTGTTACAGTAGGTTCTTCCACCTGACTTGGGGTCAATATATTTTCCTTCCACTACTCTCCTGTAGCCCTCTGGCTTGACTGGGAAATGGATTAAAGGAGGTGTGACAGAGATAAATCATAGGCTATTTATTCTGATTGAGGAAAAAGGCTACTGAATAAAACAGTATTTTATTAGAAAAGGTTGAACAAAATGCAAACTACATTACTATGTTGTCTAAAGTAGTATAATATTGAAAATATCAGGGTAGTACATACAAATCAGGGGTGAAGCTTTCATCTGTATGGATAGTGGTATCCTGAGCAATGTCTTCATCTGAATTGGCTCTCCAAAACGCTGCAAGTTCAGACCTCATGTACCGCCGTTGGTTATAGATATGTTCATGGCAAGGAGGCATCTGCTTCACTGTGTTGACATCCACGTCTATATGTGTAGTAGGATATGGAGCATACATTACTTGACGGAAGGGCAACACAAAGCTTCCAGTTGCATCCTGTTACAGCATAAAAAGAATTAGAGAAGTCTCCCAGTTACAAAAAGTAAGGTATTTGAAACAACATTAAAGTACCAGTCTTAAGTTTAAAAACAGGGTACTGAAATGCATTTCATTTTTCGGAAGTGTGTTTATAATTCTAGTTCAATCCTGTTATAAAACAGGTTGGTTGTCTAAAGTGACAGACTAGACATAAAATATCAATTTTTATGGAGGGGTTTTTGAAAATAGTGATCTGCACATCACTGCATAGTTTCAAGACAGCCTTGTTAGCGATAACACCCTTCCAGTAACTCCCTTACACGAAATGGCACATCACTCACATGCTGCACGATGCTTGGCATTAAAGTGAGTTATAAAGCAGTATGGGAAAGGAGAACAGCAACATTACAGCCATGAGTGCAGCTTTAAGTGAGCAAGTACCCTACCAAGTGAACTGAACAGAGGTCAGGAGGGAATACTATGCAATATTTATCATGCAGGAAACATGGAAACATTTAAATTTAGCCTTCTGAATTTGAGAAGTTTAAGCATGCACAAGTTTGGTTTCTTTAAAATTAATGTCAGTGATGGGAACATCATTATCTTCACTCGTTGTAGACAAAGCTTTAGAAATTCTCTCAACACATAAATAGACAGTACATACAATCAGCATTTCAAGTTAGGAACCTTTCCCACATGTGCACACTTGCTACAGAGAACAAAGAACTACTTAATTTACCTAATTAGGAGGGACCACATCTTAGACACTGAGTTTTTATTTGGTTTTGATAAAAGGCATTGGTCCACACAAATGACACTGGTACTGCTAGGTAAATATAATAAAAATTAAATGTAAAATTGTGGCTCACTCTTCATATAAATGCAAGGAATATAAGGTGCCCAATAATTCTCTGGTGTAGGATGCCTCACTGCTGGTATAAAAGGGACAGCAAGTTCAATGGGGTCCCTACTTCCCTCCAACTGAAGTAGGAGTTGCCAGGCAGTGGGAGAGCATTGGTTCCATCTTCCTAATGTGCTGGCCAGTACAGCTGAGCTGGAATGGAAAGGGAGGGAAAACTGTTGTCTTCCCTATACCTGACAAGTTGCTTCCTGTGTGAAGCAAAGGTTGTGGTGATGGAGAAATAGAGGAGAGGGAGCAAAGGATAGACAAAGGTCCTAATTATGGCTCTGGGGTCCTACTCTGCTGCTGCAGCAGTTCGCTACCCACACAGGATTTGTGAGTAAACCACAATTAAGCCCTTAATAATGTTATGTATTTACTTCTAAAATAGTTATTCTCTTTTGAAAGTTTAATTTCTAGAGTATTCTGTGAACTTTATTGTAAAGTTTCAGTCTGTTCCTCTTCTTCCTGTCATTTACTCATAGTTTATCATCATCTGTCAAATTTAGTCTGAAAGCCCCTTGGGACAGAGCCTTGTAACAATTGCCTATGAAGCACCGACTAACCTTAGTAAGTATTTTGAAACTATTTTTCATAGAATGTTGCAGTGCTTTTCTATATTCTGATTTAGCTAGCATATTCAATTTTTAAACTCCTGCCTCTTTGGGTTTAAGATCCTCATAAGTAGTAAATCTATAGATTTATTCACAAAGTGAAGTAACAATGAGAAAAACTACAGTAAAACTCCAGTGGTCTGGCATCCAATGGTCCGGCACTCTTGATGGTCCAGCACCATCTCGAATCCGGAAGTGTTCCGGGCAGCCAGACAATTGGAGCTGCTCTGCCCATGGCTTCCCCAATTCAGATGCTGCTGAAACTGACTTGGGGACACCTGGGGCAGAGCAGCTGGGGTGCTGCCGGGTTGGTCCCACAGCACCGAGGGGCACATCCCCCCCACTCCACCTCAGACCCCTCATAGCCCCCCCCTTCAATAGTCCGGCATATCTGATAATCCGGCACTCCCTGGGTCCTAAAGGTGCCGGATTATCGGAAGTTTACTGTATTCATAAAAAGAATGGACAGTATAGAGAAAATATAGCTTGAAATTCTTGCATTTCCAGAAACAGCCTTCAGATGGAAACAGAGGTTATTTCTGATTTGTTTATTACTTATATTACCATAGTAGCTAGGAGCTCTAGCTATAGCCTCAGACAGTCCCTAGCACAAACAAAAAAAAAAGACACAGTCCCTGCCCCACAGTGTTCAGAAGTGAAGATGACAACCTTCATGAGGCAACAATCTATTTAGGTATTTTCAAATTATATAAATTAAGAAGTTGTAGGTTTCTGGATAGTGGGGAAAATAATTTAGAAAACAATTAAAAGGCACCATAAAGTCACCTTACCTTGAGCAATCCTTGTACAAACAGTCCTGACTCATATTTGAAGGAAGATTCATTTCTACAGAGTCTGGAACACTTCCGTTCTGATGGAGTAAGAAACAGACACAATGTCCTCACTATCTGCAATACAGAAAGTTTTGTAAAAAAAAAACCTGGCAGATGTATAATAAAGGAAATTTAGTCTTAAAAACACAGTTTAGTACAGATTTCAATAAATTAAATTCAGAAAGTTCGTGTCACATTACAAACGAGAATGCTACAATCATGTCAAATAGTTATATACTTACATCTAAAAATAATTATTAAAATTAAACCATTAAACCATGGTCAAGATTATATAATATATTAAACATCTAATGCAGAAGTGAGGGTTACCACAGCAACACTAGTTTTGGCTATCTTGTACATCCAGTATAATTTTTATGATATGCTTTTAAGTGTTCTAAATGCTTTACTCAGAAGATGAGAAAAAGTATGTTCCAAGCTGCAAATAGAAATAGACAATGAGCAGTTGAATGGCACGATGAAACAGAGCAGCACATTAGCTATTTGAGTTGCTCAGAAAAATGTCTCTCCAAAAGATGCTATTGTTATAGGAATTTTGACAACTAATATTTATGCCAGAAAATGCAAAAACCTGTTTTAATGATGCATTAATCGATGTTTTTATATTTTCAGAAAGACTAATAAAAATCACTAATGCAGACTTCCTGAAGCTCTGTTTCACTTTATACACTCCAGCTGCACCATTAACAGAAACATATAGTTTGAGAAACTGTTTAGATGCGCTGGTATACTTTCTTTTAGCCTGTTCTGAGACATGCATTTCCGGAGCTTCCCGCCCCCCAAGATTTCTTTAGCCACGATAACACACATTTTATGAGCTACATACATGGTCCTACTTCTACAACCATATAAAGCTCTATTTTTTTCCTCTGTTTACTTCTCATTTCTTAATAAGGAAGCATTTTCTAATGGTTGATCTGATTAAATATCCTGCAAACATTAAGGGCAAAAAAAAAAAAAAAAAAGATTAACACTTTACTAATTAGTTGTTTTAAATATCATGCTTAGACTACATATACAGTATATTTTATCTGACAATTTACATACATATTATTATTATTATTACAGATTATTTATACTGCAGTAGCGCTTCGCTGACGAAGGGGAACAGCCAGCAATGTTCCTGTACGAATGGTGTGGGAGAGGAACTGCAGCCCTCAGCTGCCCTCCCTAAAGGATACCTGGGGACTGGGAGGTTCAGGGCTTGAACAGTCCTGGACGGGGTTCCCTTTCACCTGCCTGGTGACTGTCTCTTTTCTGTATGGGTGTGTGCATCCCCAGATGTACTGAGAAGGGAGGAAGGGAGCTTCAGCATCCCCCACAAAACCTTACTTTGCTTTAAGTTATGATAACAGGAAGCTGCATACCAAATTTGGTGGTCCTAGCTATTACTGTTTAGTACGAGTTCTTGAACAAATAAAACAAAAACAAATTCACTCACAAACAAATGCCTTCAAACATCCAGTAGATTAAGACTGTAAGTATAATGGGAAAATCAAAGCACAGAACAAAATAATGAGGAGAAATCCAAGGACTGGGGATGGTGCTTAGTGGCCTAGAAAATTTGCAACGCCCATACATGTGAGTAACTCACAACAGCTGCCTCTTAACTATTTAGTCTTTAAGATGCTAATAGACTATTTGTTGTTTTTTAAGTTTTTCCTGTTACAGACCGCCTGGGCTATCCCTTTGAAACTTATCTACCCAATGTCCTCTTCTACTCCCCTTCCTCCCGCCCCGAAGGACATATAATACTTCTGAAAGCAAATTTTTTTCTACTCCCCCCCCCTTATTTATTCTTGGTTCTGAACTTCCAACACTCCAGTTATCTGAAGAAATAGGCTGTGCCCACAAAAGTTCATGATACCATCTACATGTTTTGTTAGTCTTTAAAGTGCTACCAGACTATTTGTTGTTGTTTAAGTTTCTCCTGTTATAGACTAACTCGGCTATCCCTCTGAAACAAATAAAAAGTTAAGTAGCAATACAGTGCTGCTCTCACCACATCTAATATAATTGGTAATATACAATTCAACTGCATAATATTATGCTTCTCATTAATTATCACTTTTATATTACTGCAGATAATCTGCTGATTGTCCAAATAATCAGAATCCAGTTTTAAGAATTATAAAATGCACTTACCTTATTAATTTTTTCTGCACTGCTACCTACAACTACAGAGCAACCACAAGTCTGCAGGTGTGAACTGATGGCACTGCAAATTAAAACAAAATACAGATTAACAGATACAACGGATTACTCCAACACAAGTGCTTCAACATAATTCTATAAGCAGACATGAACAAACAAACAAACAAACAAAATAGTCTTCAGACAGGCTTTACTTTTACAATACTAAACTTTTGGATTGCCATAATGTCAAGATTATGATTTGATGCATTTATGAATTAGCAATCTGTTTTTAAATATTACTATGAAGTCGTCTGGGTGGAACGGAATTAAGTTACTGGAGGGCTAACTCAATTATGGCTTTAATGTCTAAGAGTAAAAGGTAAATTTTTTAAGGTAAGTGAAAGTAAAATCATTCCTTCAAATTAAGGGAATTTGAATTACATGGATTAAACAGCTTTCATTGGAAATGGAATACAACCATTATGGAAAGGTCCAGAGTTTTGCTACTTTCAATTACTAAAATACAACAAGGCTTTAATCCCACAAGTAATTGCTACCACATCTCTCAGTGCAATCCCCTCCAGAGTTCTTTGTATGTGCTTAACTTACACGGTCAGAATTATTATAGTTATTATGTTAAGTTCAATTTTTATTCAATAAAAAAAAATCAAAATCTATAAATTTATGCCATAAATTCTAATTTTAAACTGGCAAAAGCCAGGAAGCTCTCCTATTCCTCAAGGGCATAACTCTGAATAGTGTATACAAGAAGCCCAGCTGAACAGGCTATTTGCAATGTTGGTGCATACATCATGTTTGTTTACTGAATAATTTTCAATTCAGATACTCAGTATTGAGAATAATACAGTGAATAAAAAGCTATTCTCTGTACCTATATCTTAATCAAAACCAAAAAAGAGCAAGGGCTGCTATTTATTTTACCAGCGACAATAAATATTCAATGTTCCATTGTCACAGAACCAATTTCTCTTGATGTGTGTTGCTGGAAAGCAATGCACCTACAGGTAGCACCTCTAAGTCGTAACTCTCTGTTCTGGCAACATCTGTGGTCTGGAAGGACTTCAGAGGTTCCAGGATCAGAGTCTCTCAGCTCTATGGGGGGGAGAGGGTTAAGATGGGGGGAATAAGCTGGGAAGATCAGTGTGTGGCTCAGCTGGGCTGTGGGGAGTGGGCATGCATCTCACCTGAGCTGCAGAGGAGTGTGTGTGTGCGCGTGTGTGTGTGTGGGGGGGATCCAGGAAGCCCAGTGGGAAGGGAAGGGCAAGGGGGGAGGGATGCGGCTGGCAGCAGCAAGGGCAGAAATGACCTCCCCAGTTCCAGAAAACTTTCATCCAGGACCAGTTAGATCCCAAGATGCCAGACCAGGGAAGTCCAACCTATATAATATACCATCTAGTGATATGTATTCACTATAATATTGTGATCTATAAAAACCCATGACAGGTGTGGAGAAAGTAAATAGGGAAGTTTTTCATAACAGAAGAACTAGGGGTTACCAATGAAATGAATAGGCAGCAGGTTTAAAATAAAAGAAAGTATTTCTTCATACAAAGAACTCTTTGCCTGAGGATATTGTAAATACCAAGACTTTAACAGGGTTCAAAAAGAACTAAATACATGCATGAAGGAAAGGTCCATCAGTGGCTATTAGCCATGATGGGCAGGGACAGTGTCCTTAGACTTTGTTTACCAGAAGCTGCGAATGGGTGACAGGGGAGGGATCACTTGATGATTACCTGTTCATTCTCTGTGGGGCATCTGGAATTGGCCACTGCTGGTAGACAGGATACTGGGCTAGATGGATCTTTGGTCTGATCTAGTATAGATGTACTTATGTATTTCTAAAAGCTAATTTGCCTTAGCATTGAAAATTTAAATAAATCCTTGCAATAAAGTGCTTTATGAGCATTAAATACTATGAAATTGATAGGTATTATTAACAGTCAATAACTTGCCAAGCAAAATTACAGAGATGTTTTGAGGAATGACAGAAGATCAGTCAATGCCTCCACGAAATATGGAGGTGTGTCACGTGATTTCTCATGACAAGAGACATGTGTGTACTGTTTTACTAGTGGTTAACTATTTCTCTGTGGATGACATTTAAATTTGCCATTCTTTATCTATGCTTTTAACCCATGACTTTTCCTAAACTTCCTATGATATAAATTAAGGATGTAAAAGTTTAACCATTTAACTGATGGGACCTCAGCCGGATAGAGCAGTTTCCGCCTGTGGCATGTGAGGACCTTGACCAGCTGGAGCAGCTCTGCCTGGGGAGGACTGAGCTGGACGCAGGATGGTCTGACCCAGACATGGGACCCAGCCACAAAGTTAACTATTTCAATTATTACAATTATATCATTTAACTGGTTAACTTTTTAAATGGATATTACATCCTTAATAACCACTACCTGCCTTATTCTGTTTAGACAAAGAGTTTTGATTTTCTATGTTCCCCTGCCTACTTTTAACAATTTTGCATCTTCTCCACCATTTTGAAACTAATATAACCTTATCAATTAATGCTTTAGCTAAGTATGTTTGTTCCTGTGATAAAGAACAGCTGTCCTATACTCATATCAAAATGGGTTGATAGATATCAGCCCACAAACTTTAAGAGCCATCAACCCATGACCACTCATTTAAAAAGGAAACAATCATCTTTACATTATCGCTTAGACAGGCAGATATCATGATTTACCAGTGCTAACTTCTCTTTACCTCAAATTAAACCTTAATCACCAATACAACTAGACTTGGCAGAATTTATTTTTTTTAAATAATATTGACAGATATTGCTTTTTATTGTTGAGCTTTTTTCCACCCTGATGGAAAGTTATGAGGTTGGGGTGTCAGGCAACAATTATGTGACAAAAGACATTAAGATTTCAAATTTAAAGCTTTGTAACTGGTAAAACACAAATTGTCACCATTCATGCCTAAATATACAAAGCAAATATCAAATCAAATTCTTGTAAGTTCTTAAGCAACTTTTTTCTTGCATCCTGTAAATTCTGATTATCAAGGATAAATGTCACTTTGTGTTGATCTGGAGAAATCAACATTTAACCATGAAAATCTAATTCTTCCAAGCCTAAAACACAACCAATTAAGAGACACTGGCATCATTTACTTTCACAAGAGCATAAAATAGAGAACAAAATCATACTTGAGGAGAAAACCTTCATGGCAACTGTCCCCAATGTCATCATCATTTAACACTGTGTCACTTATCTGGGAGTGCGAAAGAACAAAAAGAAAGTTTAGACAAGGTGGTGTAATAAGTCACATTAAAAACATTTTATTTTGGATTTCTAATAACATGTAGTGATAGTTAACTGACTGCAGGTAGGAGGGATTCTTCAACCAGGCCAGGCCTGGACAGAACAACAGCCCACCAGTTAACTGGTAAGTTACCAGGGTAACCAGTTAACCCTTTACATCCCTAAGTAAGAGACAATCTCCCTCTCCCCAATTAGATCATCTAATCCTTCCTCCCATTTCAACCACTACTGATAATTTGTTCCCAATAGTATAATTTTTAGTGCTTCAACCAAAATATTTTAAAATGGCCTAAGCGAGGATTCCTCGCCTTTCCAGGAAAGTACTATTCCACATTCTAACAAATCTGGCCTTCATAACCCTTTCCTCTAATATTAATTTTATTTGATAATTACCATTTCCTTTCCCTTTTAAAAGGGATAACAACAGGTGGCAGTCAATTTTTCTAAGCATTGATCTAAAATTATTGCTACTGCTAAGATATTTATGAGAAGCTATGATTTGCAAAAACACTGTTTAGGCCAGTTAACCTATGCCAAACAATTAAGAGCATAATGATTTATGCTATCATTTACTTTACCAAAGGCAGCACTAAATAAGAGTAGCACAGCTGCTTTCTTTTCAAGATACAGCATATATAAGAACTTACATCTATTTCTTCTGGAACACTGTGTGATTTCATAGATGACAGAAGTTCCATTACAGGAATAACTTCTCCTGTCAGCATTGGAATGATGCTTTGGCCCTGTGCAATAAATAACATGTTATGAAAGAAAAGAATAGCATGCAGCAGAGAAAGCTACTAGTAACAGAAATTTGTAACATTGAAGAAAGAACTATTTCAGCTTTTTAGTTTTAGGGTGGGGGGAGGGAGCAAGAGGGGAGGAGGCAAGGCCACAAAATTAGAAGGGAGGAAGAAATTGATGCATATGTTTTTCCATTTTGCTCATCAAAAATAGCCAAGTGGAAACAGGCAGCTGATCCATTAACAAGAATGTTTATAATCAGCTTCAAGGCTTTTATGCTAAATATCCAGTAAATTTGGCTTGACTTGGACAAGGTAGTCTAGAGGTAGGTGACTGTATCATAGGGTATCAGATGCAATTATCAGTATATATTTTATTTTTAAAAAGTCCATGTTTTAAGTGACAAGATGACAAACAGATACAGGCTCATTAGCTAGATTAGCATAGGAATCAAATGACTTTTTTCTAGTCTTGTCTTTTGCAACAAGTTCTAGGGTTGTGCTTTTACATTTATTGCTTCAGAAACCAAATTATCTTTGTAATCTCAGCCACAAAGTATATAAACATTTTTCCCTTAGATAGCTAAAAGATAATCATTACTAAATACCGGTTCTCTCACCTGACCAACTAATGACCTAGCAAAAACCTACCCAGAATAGACAAAGATAGGAAAATATAAATGTAAGTAAGCTGCTGTCTTTAGAGGTCATGTTCGAATAAGTGACCTCCCCATTTCTGAAAGCTAATATTATTCTTAGATTTCCTCTTTAACCATAAAGTGATAGGATATATTTTCCTTCAATTTGGTCAGAGCTTCCACAACCTTATCTTCATAAAGACTGCATTCTGTACACGACAGGTCACTCTACTAGTCCAAAATAAAAATTTTCCTGTATCCCAAAAATAAGCAGTAATACTGACTACTACAGTCACCAGTTCCAGTAATAGACTTGTGATGGTATGCCATATGCATCAATCAGTCATTCTTACCTGATCCTCCATTCTCTCTGTGCTTTCCAAGACAATCTTCTGGAAATGTTCTTGCCTTTCCTGAGCAAGAAAAGCAATCACTTTTCATACAAATTATAAAAGCCCTTGTATTTGGCTATAAAATTATGCACACATCAGTCAACTGGTAAACTTTCTTCCTTGTGCAATCACACTTCTTTGATCCACACTTTGATGTTGAAGGCTTTTTCCTTTAATGAGTGAACAGGTAGAACTAACGCTATTTTGTGGCAAACTACCCTCCTCCTTAAACCTCTATATTGATTGGGGAGGAAGAAAGGCTAAAATAAAAATAATATCTTTTACTATCTGATCAAGAAAATACCAGATGGATCTCGCTCATGGGAAATAAAGATGCAATTGCTATATATTTTTTCACTGCAAAAGGAGGAAATTATTCCATCCTAACAAAATAATGGAAAATTCAATCTTCAGGGAGAGGAAACCTAATTGCTTCTGGGAAGGGGATTTGATCCATATCTTGAGATACTGGAACATCTTCAATACATTAACTGTTCTAGAGCTAAAATATTGCAGACATTCATGGAAACATCACATGATACACAAAAGTCAGACCAAAAACTAAGTGAAAACTCTGCTAGTTTCAAGTCAGCAGAAGCTCAGTAGTAAATATGGGTGTGTCTAGACTACAGAATTTTGTCCACAAAAGTGGCCTTGTCGACAAAACTATACTTGCGTCTACACTCCCGCCACATTCTGTCAACAGTAAGTCGACAGAACGCGGAAGTTGTGTCGACAGCGGTAAACCTCCTTTTACAAGGAAAAACGCGTTTGTTGACAGAGATCTGTCGACAAAAGATGCGTGTGGACACAGGGAGCCAGTTCTGTCGACAAAAAAGGTCTCCAGGAAGAAGCCCTGGGGAGACAGTCTAGCCTTTACAGGTACAGCACCTCTGTGGTTCCTGGCCACAGCCTCTTAAAGGCACAGGCACCCAGACAGGCCTCACTGTCTGGCAGCTAGCCAGAGCACCCGTGCCAGCCATGTCCCAGCCTCAAGGCCCCCCTAGCCCTTTTCGGGATAGAGACAAGGAGCCACCCAGGGGCACCAAAAGGCAGGCACCAGCCTGGACAGGGCCAAAAATCAAAAACCTCCTGGAGCTCTGGTCCCAGGAAGAAGCCCTGCAAACACGCCAAAGGAACGCGAACATTTACGAGCGCCTGGACCAGGGACTGGCCACCAAAGGGCATCACCCCGGCACCATGGCACAAGTCAGGGTCAAGGTAAAGGAGCTGTAGCAGGGATATGCCAAGGCCTGGGACCAAAGCTCTCACTCTGGGACAGCCCCAAGATCTGCCCTTACTACGAGGAGTTGGAGCAGATCCTGGGTGGTGGGGAAGCCCAGACTCCACTGTGTGTGTGGTGGAGTCCAGGTAACCCACCACATCATGGGCCGATCCCTCTTGAGGGAGGAAGACCAGGCAGGAGATGCGGGAGAGCTGCACCAGGAGGATGAGGAGGAGGAGGAAGAGGAGGCAGCAAGGACCCAGACCCCAGAGGCCTCCCAGGCATGCATGGACATTGGGGAGGGAACATTGCTTTGAGGGGTCACCACACACGGGCGGGTTGGCAGCGTGGGGGCCAGCTAGCCCCATTGCCACTGTGAACCCCTGTAAGGCTTTCAGATGACTGCCCAACTCACACACGGTGTCACATGTAAGACCTCTGAGTCTTCTGTCCAAAGGAGAGCCCGTGACAGCCATGGCATGCCCTCGGGGACAGCAGGGGTGCATGCAGACAGTGATTGTCATCTCCTCTTTTCCTCCACAGCCAGACCCTCTACCCAACAGGGGAGCACCACATCTGCCCCACCACCATCATCATGGACCCGTTGTCGTGTGTACACGGACCTGCTGAGGGAGCACGTTGTGGCCTTGCAGGACCTCAACAGGACCCTCCAGCAGAGGACACAGGCAGAGGCTGAATGGTGCACCAGGCTGCTGGACAAGCTGGTCCAGCAGCACACTGACATCTCTGCCACAATGAGGGAGCTCTTCACCTTGCCTGTCATGGACACTGCTCCTCCTGCACGCCAGGCCCCTGCTCCTCCAGCCCTCCCTTTCCCCCCCAGCCTCTCCTGCTCCCAAGCCCTCACAGGCCCAACAGCTGCCCTCCCACCTCCTGCCCTGGCCAGGACTAGGTCTTGCTCCACCCGATCCCAAGGCTGTGGTGATGCCAGAACATAGGAAGGTGGCAGGACCCTGCAATCAGGGAAGCAGCAGCCTACCTGAGCCCCCCCTCCAGGTTTTCAGTCCCCTACAACCCCAGTTAAAGAACATTTAAGTTATGTTACAAAATCTTTATTTTTGACTGACAGATTATCCTTTGTGGATAAACAGGTGAACAGTTAAAAGAGAAAGTTTTGTTAAACAGTTCACACATTTTCTTTACTGCTAGTGTTTCTAATAAAGCAAATTTCTGTTTACAAAGAAAAATGGGTCTTATGTGTGTTCTTAATGGGAACAGAGTGAGGGTTGTGGAGGGGAAGGTAGTGTGGGCCAGGCCAAACCTTCCAATGGGGGAGAGTCAGTGGGCTCCTTCTAAGAATCTCTCCCTCAGGGCCTCTCAGATTTGGACACCAACCTGGTGAGCCTGGTGGATGGCAGCCGTCCAGGGCGGCTGAAATTGCCTCTCCTCGCCTTCAGGACCTGTCCTCCACCCTGGCAGGAAGGCCTCCCCTTTCCTCTCCACCAGGTTACAGAGGGCATAACATGCAGCCACCACCTCCGGGATGTTGTGTTCGCTCATCTCAAGCTGCATGAGGAGGCAACGAAACCTCCCTTTCAAACGGCTGAAGGCACGTTCCACCTGGATGTGAGCCTGGCTAAGATGTGTGTTGAAAAGCTCCTTGTTCACATCCAGGTGTCCGGTGTAGGGCTTCATGAGCCCAGCATCGGGGGTAGACTGCATTTGCCTCTATGCACACCAGTATCTGCACAGCCCCAAGTGCAAGGTACCGCTGGGGAAAAAAAGTGTTCCTGCCTGCAACCTGCGGTACAGGTAGGAGTTCCGGAATATGTGGGCATCATGTGCCCTACCCAACAACCCGACACCAATGTCCATAAAGTGTCCCCAGTGGTTGACCAGGGCCTGCAGCACCATGGAATAGTAGCCCTTCCGGTTTATAAATTGGGCTGCTCGATGGGGCAGGGCGCGGATTGCGATGTGTGTCCCATTGAGGGCTCCTTCGCAGTTCGGGAATCCAAGGGCGGCAAACCCAGCAATGATGTTGTCCAGGTCCCCGAGATGGACAAGCCTCTTCAGCAGCTCTGCATTGATGGCCCTCAGCACCTACAGCACGAGACAAATAGACAGACAGAAATCAGGGAGTTAGACAAGTTACCTAAGCGCTTGGAAGGAGAACCCTCCTCTCCACCCCACTCCTCCCCTTGTCAGGACGCTCCCCTCCCCCGCATCAGTGCAGGGGTGGCTGAGGAGCGGCCTCCGAGAGCCACTCCATCCTCCACTTCCTCTTGTCCTTGCCTGGCAGTCCCCCTTTCTCAACCCCACCACTCAGAAGGGCCTGTTCCCTGACAGTGACTTACCTCCATCAAGATGGCCCTGATGGTAGACCTCTCCACGCCAAACTGGTGTCCTACGGAGCGGTAGCTGACCTGGATGGCCAGCTACCACAGGGCGATTGCGACCTGCTTCTGCAGGGGGATGGCGGGCCGCAGGTGGGTGTCCTGGTGTTCCAGAGCAGAGGAGAGCCAGGCACACAGCTCCAGGAATGTGGCCTTCCGCAATCGGAAGTTGCGGAGCCAGTGGTCGTCGTCCCAGAGCTGCATGACGAGCCGGTCCCACCAGTCCAAACTTGTCTTCTGCCTCCAAAACTGTCTGTCCTCAGAAAAGTTTGGGGACAAGGGCAGAGCTCCTGCATCCCAGAGGAGGGTCTCCTCAGTGTGTTCCAGGTCCATATGGGGCAGGAAATCCATGACAGAGTCATGAAGAGGCAGCAGAATGGCAGCCTGGGGCCATTGCCTGCCCAGGGGCTGCTCAGGCTCCATGGCCAAATTAAAGTCGAAAAGCAGAAAAAAACCCCAGAAAATAAACTGCTGTCGTGTCCGAGGAAGCAGGGCAACCAGAGCAAGCACTTCAGCAGCTTTGCTTTCCCTCTAGGGGGCAGGCAAGCCAGAAGCAGGAGCAGAGCAATGGCTGTCGAGGGGGATCCCTTTAAGCATGTGTCTCTGCAAAGGGCAGGAAGCAGCACCTGGAAATAGAGGCTGCCCCCATGCCCTGCCAGAAGCACTTACGGGTGCCTTCTTTTGTTGACAGAGCGCCCGGCAGTCTGGACGCTCTTTTTCAAAAAAGAGGATCGATTTTTTGATCCGCATAATATAATCTAGATGCTCTTTTTCGACAGAGGCTTTGTCGACAGATACTGTTGACAAAGCCTCTGTCGAAAAAGGCGTGCAGTGTAGACATAGTCTATGATGAACAAAATCAATTACAATTATTAAGCTCAGTATGCTATGAAAACTTGGCACTAATGAACAGTATAGTCAGAACCACATTCTAGGCAATAAAGATTCTACTTGCTCCAGAGAGGTCGTCTTATAAAAGCTGAGAGTTGTCACATCTTTCGCAGGTTTACTCAATAGTCTCCTGTGACAGAGCCACTGAAGGGTGATAAAATGCAGACCAGAAAGCTTACACAACTCCTCGGAATATATGAGGAATGAAATGCGTTAGAGTAGATTTCTTCCTGCCAACGATAAAACCTAAATTAATCTGAAACAAGTGCCTATGAAAAACAACACTGGTGCTATACAGAATACTTAAAAGCACTTCCCTGGAGTTAGGCTTCAACAAGAAATAATTTCCTTGACAGAGAAAATTCTTTTTTTTTTTTTTTTTTTAAAGTTTAGCTTCATGTAGTTGAAACTGAAAAAGTTTCCCCCTTTTGAAATACAGTTGCTATGAATTATTGGAAAAAACCCACAACACTTCAAATATCTAGCTTTATAAAAGCTAAACATGATTCCAGACCCAATTTGGAATTACTTCTAAATAGTTGCTTTTAATAGTTCTCAACCTGTGGGCCACTTGCAGCCCAATCAGCACAGAGCCGCAGCATGGGTGACAACCTTAAGGACATACAAGTAGCCCACATAAAACACTGAGAGATATATATGTGGCCCAGAATGGTAAATACATTGAGAATCACTGGTAACATACATTATTCTTAACATTGCTCTGCATGTATCTGAATCTGAGTGAATTTGCCAATGTAGGATGCCATTTCAAAATTTTCAGTGAGTTTCTCCCTTCTAATACAATCTGGTTGGAACTGCTGTCTGTCTTAAGACAGAACTCTTGAAAACCAGGAAGACATGCTGTCTGGTAGGAATGCCAGCATACACTGTTGACATCAAGTAGGGCAGGTCTTCAAGAATTTGTTATCCATTTTAACCTGTAGCACATTGGATTGATTCATATCATAGTGGATGATGCGGAAATCTCCTTTTGCCATGAAAGCCACATTTTACACATTTCCCCATTTTAATAATTTATGTTTAAATTTTATATTATGATGCCCAGAAAGTATCAGACACAGATAGCTAAAATTTATACAATGCTATATTTGTAATTTACATGTATAGAGCATCTAGCACTGAGGTATATCTACCATGGGCAAAGACTGAGCTAGGATACAGATGAGCTCTTGTACATGTTATAACTGCTCAATAAAACCCCAAGAATAAATACATTTCTTTCAAGGGTTATCAGTCTGCTGCTCACTGAGCCTATTTAAAAAACAGACAGTGGAAAACAAATAAAGTCAAAGACTTCACAACTAGTTTTTTGGGACTGACAGAACATTTTCTGTAAATTACACTGCAGCTACAACTCCATGATGAAAATCTGTAAGTTAGGCAACAAAAACATGACTGCTTCCAAACTGAAGTTTTGTGCTAAGTTTGATCATTTTGTCTCAAAAAAGGTTAAAGCAGAGAAGCCAACGATAAACATAAAATGAAGAAAACATTGTAATGAAGATTACCTGTTGTGTTCCCTTCCTCTGGGGCATCTGGTATTGGCCATTGTTGTAAGACAGGATACTGGGCTAGATGGACCTTTGGTCTTACCCAGTATGGCCCTTCTTATTGTCCACAACTACAAGAGCGTGATAAACTAAGGATGTCGACTAGGAGCAGGAACTCGACTAGTCGCTTTCCCCCCTTTGCTGCCGCTATCAGAAAGAGACAGCAAGGAGGAGGGGGAGCATGAGCCAGTGCTGGGGGGAGCCGACTTAAAGCCCGTTCCCCCCGCCCCCCAGCACCATCTCTGTGGGAGGTCAGGGTGGCGGGAGGCAGAAGGCAGTGGGGAAACAGTGAGAGCGGGGATTGAAACAGTCCTGCTCATGCCGGTCCCACTGCTGCTTTTCTCCCTTTGAAATGCCTACACATTTCAAAGGAAAAGGCACAGAGGGGAACCCGCACCAGCGGGGAACTGCTTTGGTCCCCACTGGTGTGGGTTCCTACTGCCTCACTCTCTTTGGAATGTATAGGATCTGCCTGTGGGTGGCTCTTTTGCATTTCAAAGGCAGAAAGGCAGTGGGAACCCATGCCAGTGGGGACTGAAGCACTTCCTGCTACCGTGGGTTCCCCTCTGTGCCTCATCCTTTGAAATGTTTAGGAGCTTCCCGTGGCTCTTGCATAATTCAAATGGAGAGACGCAGCAGGCCCTTGCTTTGACTCCCCTTATTCCTCATACAACGTGGGTTGCCATGAGTTGGCATAAAAAGTCCTCAGGCTCGACATTTCAAAATAAAGGCTTGTAGTGTAGATATGGTCTCTAATTGTGGAATAATGTCAGTTATTCTGAAATAATGCTGCTGTGTAGACGTACCTTTAAAAAGGTACATAAACAAGATAAAAGCCATATTTTCATTGGACAAAAATATATTTTACTGCCATACATACATTTTCCTAATGTATACAATTACTTAGATCGGGGTCGGCAAGAGGCTGCCAGTGGGCCGGATTTGGCCACCAAGCCACCGGATCCAGCCTGCAGCTGCCTTGCTGGGACCCTTAAGCACAGCACAGTGACAGCCACTTTAAACGTAGCTGCTCTAGTCTGGGAGCGAGAAGGGAGGATGTGCGCTCTGTCACGCCCCTCAGCAAAATCTCTCAGCTCCAATTGGCCAGTTTCTGACCAATAGTAGCTGAGATATTTTGCTGCTGGCAGGGGCAGCCAATGAAGTCTCCCTTCCTCCTGCTTGGACCAAAGCCACGTGGAGCAGCTTGCGACTGGAGCTTTCAGGTTCCTGAAGGGTTGCTTACTGGGAGCTGTCTAGGTAAGCACCTCCCAGCCACAGCCTGCCTCTGCCACACACATCCTTTGATCCCTCACCCTGACTACCTGCCCCAGGCCACCACCCAAACCCTCTGTTTGCCTTTCCCCCAGGTCACAACTGCCTCCCAGACCTTGCACTCTCCTGCACCCATACTTCCTCCTAGACTCTGCATCCCAAGCCTCTGCCCCCAGATCACAAGCCCTTACTTCACCCAAACTCCCTCTCAGACTTCAGTGTAGCATAGAGCAATTCTACAAGGATTTTTGTTTTATTTTATAAAAAATAAATAACAATTTTTATCAAACATGGGGATGGTAAAAAAAAATTCCATAGGAGGCTAGTATGAACTGAGTAGAACTGTAGGGCGATGCCATGCATGTCATTACCAGATCTGATAAGAGTTGCATATTCTCAATTTCAGAGCCTGGTAGTATTAGGATCTATTTTTAGCATACAACTCTAGCAGGCATATTGAGGTAGAGATTTTATTTATCTATGAGATTTTGTTTCGTGGATTGTTATCTAATGTGACCCAGGGAGATTGTTGTTTTTATAAAACATATACCTATTTTCTATACAATGCAATGTCTTTGTGTTGATTAAAGCAACTCCCAGCAGCTAATGAACCCCACCCACTGGGGTTCCCCATGCACCAATGGGGTGAGTGGCCCGGCAGGCAACCAGTTGTGCTGCAGCTGGAGCTGGGCTGTAGTGAGGCTGACCCTACTGGGGAGCCTCACTGTGACCCTGGTTCCAGCTCTGGTGGCCGCTTGGCTGGCAGGGCCGCATGATGGCAAGCAGCAGCACTCGGCACTGGGTAGAGCCCAACTGCCGCAGTGCTCAGTTCCAAGTGGTGCTTGGCCCCAGCTGAGAGCCTCAGCTGTGCTCAGCAGGGGCCTGGCTGCTGTGACACTCAGCTGGGCCAAGTGCCACATGGAACTTGGCTGCCGTGGTGCTCAGCAGTGGTCCAGCATGCTGCGGGCTCCGCACAGCCCCCCCACCACGCAGGGAAGTGCTCTGCGTTCAACTGGTAGCTGGAAGGCAGCAGCAGGGCTAGGTCAAGGCAGGGGTCAAGGCAGACAAGGGTGGGCTCTGGGGGCAGAACTAGTGCTGGGAGGCTCTGGCGGTGGGAGGCTCTAAGAGGTGGGGGGGAGCTGATGCTGAGGGGCACTGTGACATCCAGGATGGGGAGCTGGCACTGGGGGGCTCTGATGGTGCGGTTAATAATGAGAAGGTGAGGGGGGCAGGGCTGGCACTGGGAACAGGGGCTAATATTGGGGACTGGCACAGGGGACCTGGGGGGGATTGGATGCAGTGGGGCTCTGGAAACAAGAGGCTGGCACTAAGGCATTTGGGGA